TTATGCAACGGCCATAAAAATTATTTATATTAATGACGTCTCCAAAGTTCAACGAAGATTTCGCAGAAAAATAACTTATCAGAAATCGCCCGCCGTTTGGTGCGTTGCTCTGCAAAGAAAACAAGCTTGAGCAATGGCGACGTCGAACGGTTCACACTCGGTAAGTAATCCTACAAATTTTAGTTTATAGCATATTTTATACGGATTATTCCCAAAAAATTATACATATTTTGGAAATGTTGAGTCGAATTAGTCTAGAATCGATTAATTTTATGGAAGAAAACCTTTCAAACAGCCGTAGTCCGTAAACTTCACACGTGTCGGGCTGTGATTGGAAAGGACTCGTACAAAATTGATTCATAAAGAACGGAAAGTATCTTCCGTATTATACGGGGGTCGACTGTATTCCTATAGCAAACACCTGTAAATTTATAATTATCATCCGCATGTTATCAATCGTCACTATGGTTATGAGAAGCACAGAAATGTTGCTTCTCATAATCATAAGAAGCAACATTTTTGTTCTTCTCATTACAATGTAAGTTAAAAATTTTTACAAATTTTGTAACATTTCAAAAATTTTATGTTAACTTGTATGCATTATTTCTTAAACAGTTACATCACAAAGAGTTGAAAAGAGACACGAAGTCCGAAATGCATACTCTAAAATATAAAAATGTGATTTTCTAAAGATCGTCCAGTTTCTAATTGATGGTGTAATAAGTCTAGCGGAAAAGAAGAGCCGTCATACAGCTCGTAAAATTGAACATAAAATTAAACAAAAAGCGTATTACGGAGGTAGATTGATGCTATTATATTTTCGTAGTTAAGGGACAATGAAGTGGGGAGATAAAGGTGGTCATGTGTATTTTCATCAGGGTCGAGCTTAATGACGATTTTACTGGTTATTAGTGTATTAGTATTTTAAAAATTTTTATAACACTTTTGTGACTTTTGAAATATAACATTTCCGAATTTTATAACAGCTAAAAATATAAACTTTTAAAAATAAAATATGATAACACATAGCGCCTCCAAACGCCTCCAGAAATGATAAGCAATTAGTTGCTGGATTCCACCATCTTCACCGCCAAGGGCTATACCATTATTCAGGCCACCACATATGTTACCGATAGACCTACCAGTGCCGTTTTTTGCACAGATTCCAAATCCATCCTCTCCGCCGTAAACAACTGCAATGACAAATCCCCTACTATCACCCGCAGCATTTATAACAAACTACACAACAGTACATCCACGAAAAGCACATAAACTTTATCTGGACTCTCGCCCACCTTAGTATCGACGTCAACGACAAAGCAGACGACTTCGCTAATAGCAAGCTCCCAAACACCAATTTTATATCGAAGATCTCCAAACTATCAATAACTCCGATCACCAACACAACATGGAAAACATCTGAAGCCACTACCAAAACCACAATAACTTTCATTACTTTAACGACGGCTCATATACCGGCATATCCACCATTTTCGTTCGTTATATTAACGTTTTAATCAACCGCGCAAGGACCAACTCATTACTTACAAATTACTTTCTTTACAACCGAAAAATAAAAAGTAACGATAAATGAAGTTACTGCCCCAACCAGATCTGTATCAATATAAATAAACCAATAACGATACGTTTTATTCCTAAGATAAAAAATTTAGTAATACTTCAAAAATAATAATATAAATATACTTTTCATTTAGATTTGTCTCAGATTCATTGAAAGTATTAAAAATAATTGTCAACGGAGCATTAGAAATTATAATTTTAAAAAGAAAAAGTTCACATTTAAATTCGTTTCCTCGTTTTAATGTAAATGTATGAAAAACAAAGAAAAATTAACTTAACCGAAGACTGTTACAAACATTTACTTACCTGTAAATGCAGACGAGGACGAATAATTTTTCTGCTGTTTTCTTCTGTTTCTCCATTTCTTTCCTAGTAAATATATCACTAGAAGAGATATAATAAGCAAACTTAAAAGAATTTGGAAAGTCAACAGAAACATGGTTAATACTCTTCTTCCTCTGCACTTACTAGTGTACGTAATAAGTTTATACGTATATATATATATCTGCAAAATAATAACGCTGGAAAAATGCCAATAATAGTCAGGTTTTCTGACGCGTATTCGACACTCGCCAAGTTTTGACGTCAAAATCGCCACGCAGTAAAAATTGGAAGCGCTGTCAGGATTTTGTTATAGCGAATATATAATTTAACCGAGGATTTGAAATATTTACAAAATGTTTATTTTAAAAAGTAATCATAATCTAAGAATCCTTTTCTACGAGTTATATAATTACAAAATATTATTTCAAATGTAGTGAGGTTTATTGTTATTTGACATGAAAACGATACTTACTACACACCCGCGACACACCGAGTATGGTTGATTGGGAGCATGATGTTCAATAAGCGGTCAAACCCGGTACACATTTCTTGTGCTCTGATGGAAAACCAGTTTGTGCGACGAATTGGGGGAAAATAAATGCAAGCTACATCTGACACGGTGTTTCGGCAACACATTTTTTGATTACACGTGGCACCGCGAACTTTCCTTAGTGCGAATGAATGATAATATTCGTTGAAACAATCAGAGAAATAACATTGTCCTGTCTCTTACAAGGTTCACTGGATTAACGAGATAGATTAGGTATTTGCGATTATAACTCATTTAAATTAAAGAAATGTTCTCTTAACTGATAAACCTTTTATAAAATATGGAGTACATGTTTAGGATACTGCATCCGAGTACGCAGTTAACAAAGCGCAAGTAGAACAAAATTGATTCATTCGAGCCATTCATATCCTACATTTCAGAGATTGAGAATATTATCAACTTTATATAACTGATAGATTTTTGTAGCATATACAGTATATAAGACGAGTTTTTCTGGCGAGACACAAATTCGTTAACCGTAATAAAAATAAGGCCGAGAGTTTACTAGCTTAAAAACGGGCGTAAAAACCTTTGCCATAAAAACTATTAATCACGTGACCTATTTGCGTTTGCATCTGGATTGCCGTAGATGTCCCACTTGCGAAGTTTTTACGGCGACGGTACCATCGAAGTTACTGTTGTATACGTGATATATTGATATAAAAACAATGATTATATTCCACCAGTTTTTTCTGTACTATAATTACAAATGTATTAGTAAAAATAATATTTTTAATTTAATATATTAACTTTTATTATGGTATTATTAAAATGATATACAGCACTTATAAGCTTAGCCTAAATACCACTAAATTGAAGGATTTTCATTTGGCCGTCCCATATCGCGTGTTTTAGGCATCCGTTATTATTATAATCGGAACACCTTTTGTCGTAGATACATGAATACTTTCGGATGTTCCGATAAAACTTTCCAGATCTAATCTAGAGTAGCCACGACAGAACATACACAAAAGCTCTTTTTTCGTCATTTTCGCGCCGTATTGCAATGACCTAGATTTCACTGACTTCTGTTTGCTGGATGGTACCGTTTTACGGCTGAATTCTCACCGAAAGAAGAAAACTGCTCAACTCGCTTCTGCGCTGTTTTTACGACCTGCTCGGGCATAAAATATCATGATCACGACATTAAAAGCTTTTACGGCGATTGATTTTACGCCCGATTTTACGCTAGTGGAGTATCGGCCTTACTTTTCCCTTGTAGCCAAATTTATGGTGAGGAGATCATCCTCGATATTCCAAATCAGGGCATATTAAACTATGCATCGCAACCCTAATTGGGATGGCAAAGCGAAATGCTAGAGTTGCGAAAATTAAATTTAAACAGTCGAATTTGAAGCAACACTATCGAGTTTTTCATTTTCCTTAATTAAAACTCTTAACATTTTCTGTACAGCTAAGTTATAAAATCACAATACGAGTCAAATCGCCTAATAAATTCTATTCAGATATTAAAAAAATACAACAAAGCGCATAGTAATTGCGGGAACGCTTTGTAATTCGGGGTATTATTTATTTAACAAAGGCAAATACGTAAATTCATGTTCCACGCAAACGCACCAGAAATATGTGAGAACCGTGGGGGTGTAGATCCGTGAGCTCAACTCTGCTCTGTCAGGGGATGGCTTATGATTTAACGGAAACACGCAAATCGTTCAATGGCTGTTTCCGGCCAGGAACTAACACCAGTTAAGATAATTACACGCGTCCTTTCTCGAGATTCGTAACACTATCGTAGGTCTCGTTAAACACTTGACGGGGGATAGATATCCGTTCTACGAAATAATAGACAGGTTATGACAAAAAACAAATTTAATTATCAAACGTAAAACTAGGATACAAAGTTATAACTAAATATGGCAATATCGCGTTGCAAGTTATAAAGATCTATAGAAAACGGCAGATACACGTTATACTCTACTTAACCTAACCTAAAAATCCCGAGAGAGAGTGTTTACATTTAGACCAAAATACCTCTGATAAATACTCGTATCCAACGTTGTCGTGACGATCGTGGACTGTGAAGGTTGTCGGGGAAGGTGCCGGCGATCAGGTCTCGAGAGGTGCATGGAGCGAGGTTCGAATATAGATTTAGCAGAAAGACTTTCCTTCGACGATCGCTGATGACTTGTGGATAATCGCCCGAGGTGCGGGTACGACTCCTTTTTATACACGTCTCGGAGGGGGAACTATCGGGGAAAGTTCTGATGCATTCTATCTAAGTTCGATTTGCGCCGGGTGTTGTTTATGTTAATGTCAGAAATCGAACGGTTTGACAAATTTGTTATCTCTTTCTATGCTACATGGTTACTCCTTTCATGTCATAAAATTGATAAATCTGTCAAACATATTAAATTAATTGCTGGTAGTAACTAAGGTCAGTGTTTGTGTTACAACTAGGGTTGCCACCTGTTCGGGTTTGACCCAAAGACTCCGGGATTTAGTAAGTTATCTCTGGGCTCTGGGGTTAATCATTATTTCTCCGGGTTGTGCAAGTTGAAATGAATATGTACAAAATTATATGCAAACCGTTGCATATATTTCTTCCCCTGTGTACCGAATTACTGGTGTGGTAGTCGTTGACTTAAAGACAGTAGCGTAGCGTAGGGGGGCGGCAGGGGAGTCCAATTGAAATGAGCACAGAATAGTGTTACCATCCGACTCGCCGTCTGAGGATATCGTGCGTAACCTGGCGATTTTTTTTGTTTGTACTGTTCATTCGTAATCATATACACTTCTAATATCCAATAGAGCTAGGTCACTTGCGTTACTCCAATTCAAGTCTTTCTAGTCGCTAACTGTAACTGATTTAGAACCAGCATGCACTACAAATTAATCTTCGCATTGCAAAATGATACACGCATGCGTCAGAAACTTCTGTTCGAACAAACCTCACCTGCCGTCCGGGTCAGCGATTTTAAAAAGGTGGCAACCCTGGTTACAACCTTAGTAATAATTGTTAAATTGGGAAGATATGCGTTCGGTCTTCTCTACTAAGAAATCGGAAGAAATATGATGTGTGTGGGTTTTTCGTAGTTGTTTAAATAATTAATGGGTTTTAATGTACTTTTCGTTTAATACTTGTTGATTTTTTTCTGTTTTTGTTTTTGATTTACATTTAGATACTTGAAAAAATCGTAATTATCACAGTGTTTCTTTATCTGTATATATATGAACGTGTGTGTCGTTATATTTCACTTTTCAGCCAAAACTACACATTGCACATGAATGGTGTTTGTATGTAATAGTAGCTTCAAGTGCACTATGCACTATGCCCATTCGTGCACTATGATGGTTGCGTCTCGATAGCTATAAGGGTGCGGGAGATATGGAGTTTAAAGTGGTTGAAAGTGGACGATTTTCTATTTCGACTTTTAAAATTTTCGAATTCGAATTGGTTCGATTATAGAACGATTGTAAACGTTCCAGAAAATAGATGAAATTGAAAATAGTTCGTTTGACAGGACGTAAAAATTTTCTAGTTAGTCTGGAAACGGGGGATCTAATTTTTGCATTCTGTGAAAACGGGTAACATTGGCTATAATGTAATTAGCTTAATCTTAACTATCGTTACTTTTGCCCACAAATAAAAACCCAGCGAAGCGGGTCTTTGCAGCTAGTTTATAAATAAAAATAAAAATATAAAATAATTGAGCGAAGCTCTTCATTAATTAATTCAAGTAAAATAATTTAATTAATTCAAGTAAAATAAAGTATAAATAAAATGTATAAAGTAAATAACTTATTGTGTTTCGATCCGATCTAAGTTTCTATCTTTGATTGGCACATATTTGACAAATTGCGAATTATCTGTTATAAAAACAAAACTCGAAACCATTACAAGGAAAGTTATAAAAATGAAGTCTGTTTTAAGGTAAAGCTGAAGTCACGGTTGTGATTTCAATAACAATTTGTCACATACAAAACTTATCAATAAAATCTACAATAAAAACAAAAAGAAATAAATGCGCTATTGTTTAGAGTTTAATCATTACAGTTGGCATTTAATTTTGCTTTGTTCAAATCGAACAATCAATCGTCATTACCAAATAGATAAGGAAAGGACATTTCTGTAATTATCTGTATTTTTGTAAATTATTGATTAAGATTTTTAAATATACATATATATATGTAAATTTCAAAGACTGAACTGTATGAAATATCTTTAGTTTTGTACTTTCGACAAATTCAAACATTTTAAATAATTCAGAATACATTGACAAAACGGTAAGAATTCAGAAATTAAACTTGTCTGAGTAAAAAATTATACGCGGATATTTTCTAAAATTTATTTTAATTAATTTTTCGAAAAGTTAAGTAGATTATTCTTATAACAATCGCCCAACTAGTCAAAACACTTTGTTCATTTGTCAACTAACTTCCCTACTCTCTTATTAATGAAAAATGGTATCAACAGTTTTGTCGAAGGTGTGCAGATGCACATTATCATAAAACAACCCAACGTTGTTTTAGGTGTTGTTACATCATATTGTGACTTTAAATTGAAATTTTGTATAAGATATATAATTTATTAGATATGAGTAGTTTTGTATTGGTACAGAAACTCCAATTCCTGCATGAGAGTTGCCCAAAAACTTCGTAGAGTCCTACTATAATTATTAAAATAGTTATTTGTCATATTTAAAAAATTTAATAAATAAAATCAAAGTAATTGTAAAAAACTTGAACAACTTTAATAAAAATAAAATAATTTTATAAATTAAATATCTTCATCCTAACTAATTCATTATATTTCAATTATTATCTAAACTTATT